AAGTTGATGTATAGGAGTTATCACTATGTTTTAGCATTTATTTCATAACACTAATTTCATTAGCATTTCATGATCTGTATCAGGTATCAGGTATCATGAAATGCTGGATTTTAACGACAACCAAATATTTGTTTAAATATAATGAAAAATATCAACAATATTAATTTCGGCATTTCTAGGCAAGATATTTGGTAGATGCGGACATCCCGACATAAAAATGCCTTTTACACTTTTCGCAGACTAAGAAGATTTGATTTTCTGGTAAAAGACAACAAAAAAATCAAATAAATTGGTCTACATAAGGATAATTGAAGACGTTTTTGTGTATAAATACTTCTTTGATAAACACCTCTTTTGATTATAATTTATAATCTTTTTGGTGCAATAAACAATGGAAAGGGATAACACTATTAGCACTTTGGCTACTGGATATAAATTTGAAGTTTGTGTCAGAAACTTGAATTACATTTTGGTGAAATTCAAAATATTTAATACGAAAAACATTAATTAATAGTTAATATAAATAGTAATTATGTTCTTAACTGTGTGTACCATTGTTGGATACAATGTTTATTTTTTTGCTTGACAGTAATGAGTGTTAAAAAAGCAGTTGGTACACAAGACCTTACAGCATACTAGACAAGATGTTTTAACACATTTTGTTTCTTTTATAGGAAAGTTACGACCATTTCTATCACTATTAATTTTATACCATCTTATACCCCTGTTCTACTTCGGAAAGTTTGTGATTTCTTTCTTGGTTAACACCACAATCATCCAAATTTTCCATCTGAAGATTTTGACCACAAAAAATTTCTGAGGCGATTTTTTCTCTAAATTTAGTGACACTTACTTTAACATAAGAACACTCACTTTAAACTTCGTTTGGAATTGTCGATAAAAAGATGCCAGTGATCTGGTGTATACTCCGATACACCCAATTTTTCTAACAGTCCTTTAATTTGGTTACGAAAAACCATATCATCTTCCTGATAAAAAAAGGCAAAAGATCTGTTTCCCTATTACGGTAGTATGTAATTTTGGTGTCTGTGTAAAGATTCTTTTCCTTTAGTCTGGAGGCAAGCAGCTTGGAAGAATCCTTTGGAAGGTTCAAATTTCTGATAAAATCGCTTAGCTCTTCCTGAGTAAAGCACCAAGGACGTGTTGAATCCCCTTCAAAAGCACTGTTGTCTTCCTCAAATCTATTAGTCTGTAGTTAGTCAGATAACGTTTCGACATTATCCTCTGGTAACATAGGTAGACTGCTAACTATTGGAATGGGTATCTGCTCAAGCTGATGTGCAATTGGTCTTGCTAAATCCAGTGCTATCATAACTAGTGCTAGTTAACTGTCAGAACTTGTGCTTTTAGTATGGCAAACAGTTTATCAGAGAGCATTGTTGTACCACATTTGCTTAATATTTTAAGAAATTCTTGATTAACTTGACTTGCTGGTGTTTCTGATTTGTTTAAGTACAATAAGCTGGTATCAGTAGAGGGAAGAATTCTCCAAGGATGAGTTTGAATTAAAGAGATACCACAGGTGTCTGGAAAATGGATACCTATGTGTCCTTTGGAAACAACTTTTAAAGCGGTCAGCGAATACATGTGTATAACTGGATGTTAAAGCTATGCAATATTTGATATAACTTTTGTCTATTAGTTGAGTCATAGGCCTGTTTAAAATCTATGAATACATTGTGGACATCAATGTCGTATGTTGGTGTCGTTTGTTTAGTATTTAAGTAAAAACTTTGTACGTTGTACAAGAGTGTTATGCCGAAATAATTTTCACATTTCAGTTTATCCCCTTTTTTATAGATTGGACATATAATCCCTGTTTTCCAGTCGCTCGGGATCTTTTCACAATTCCAAATCTTGTGTATAAGCATATGCATTTTATCTACTAGGTGTTCATCACCTAATTTATATAGCTCAGAGGGTACCTTGTCAATACCTGGAGCCTTGTTATTCTTTTGTCCCCCTATCGCTTGTTTTACCTATATTTTTGGTGTCTCCCTCAATGTGATGCATGTTCATATGCTCTTCATTTTCTTGCAACCTTAGGAGAGTTTGGAAATAGGTTTTTCAGACTGATTTTTGTTTTGGATCACTGGTTATTTGTCCTTCTTGATTTGTGCATAGATTTGTATCCTTCCCTTAAATTGCACAGATATTGATACGATTCCCTTATATAGTTGCTTTGGAGATTTTGTTCCAGTGGAGTGAATAACAATTGCAAGTCAGAAAATGGTCGTAATATGCAATCTGCTGAAGGAGTCTCAAACTGCTCCGCCAGAATTTAGAAGCCAAGATGCGCATATAAAAACATCAGAACTGTATTACCAAATGTACACACAGCTTGAAACATTACCACTTCATGTGACCAAATATGGTACATACGGTTTCTGGTAAACATCAAATGTGTACCAGTAATGGTACACACAGTAGCCGAAGTCTTACGATATAAATTTTAAATATACATATATGATAACCCCTATACATAAAAAATAGGATGAAAATTTTGGATAACATGTCAGGAAACTCGACTCACTGGATCACAAAATTTTTTATCTATGCTAGTATAATACAACAAATTGCTTACGATACAATGAATTAGTCTTTAATCTTCGAGGCTGTCTTTGGAGGTCATGAACTACGACAATAAAACGAAATTAAATAGAGTTAATAGAAATAATTTTGTACTAACATAAAAATGTACAGAATGCACTGTAAATGTGTTTTTATAATGTTTCGGTAAATGCATAAACAGTACATTCTATGAAATAGGTAATAAATAGTAAACAGACGAACACGCAAATACACATGCATACACACATACACAGTGTGGACAAAAAATAATGTAATTAGCCTATATTTTGATTTCTATGCCACAAATATATCTGTAACACATTTCTGTGTTTCGGGATTAAATAAGTATGTATAACACAGTGTGTTTGAAGGCCACGTTGCCATATTTGTTATAGGAATGTAAAAGTTGATGTGTCTCAGCGTTTTTTATAATTTTCTAATATACAAGGACAGAAACGATTTTATTTCAGAAGTGGTTTCAACACTGTATAATTTCAACATGTTACCATTTAATATTCATACCTGTGGTTCTGTTTCTGTCATTGTCATTTGCACTAGTCATATTAATTTTGATCATATGCTAAATTCTTCCAATTTAAAAGGTAGAATTGTTCTATCTATTGAATAATAGGCTTGTTTAAAATCTACAAAGAGATTGTAAACATCAATGTCATATTCCCATATGATACATCTAATGGTAGATTTATTTTGCGTAAAACCTGCTTGATATTCCCAGTTGATTTTTTCCGTGAGAGGTGGAAGTCTTCGATTAGTGATGTTTGTAAGTATTTTGTATATCGAACAAAGTAAAGAGATGCCTCTATAATTCTGACACAACAGTTTGTCTTTTGAGTAGTTCTGCCGGTATTTTATCTATTCCCGGTGCTTTATGGCTTTTTTGTAGTAGATTGCCGTTTGGACCTCCACTAGCGTTGGGGGTCTAGTTAATTCATTTTCTTCTCCAGCTCTTGTTGTAGCTACTGCCGTGCCTGCTGCTGCCTCTGTTGTTGTAATGGTGGTTGTGTCACTTTGTTTAGTAATTCCTTAAAATATGTCATCCAGGTTCTCTTAATTTCCTCCATATCGCTAATGATTTCACCCTTCTTATTTTTGCAGAGGCTAGTCTTCGGTTTGTATCCCTGTCTTAAATGTTTGATAAATTGGTATGCACTATGTGTTTCGTTTTCCTTAAACTCCCTCTCTATGTTTAGTGTCGTTGGTTTTCGTACTTTCTTTCTACCTGCACAGTTTATCTACTTTTCGTCTTTTGTTCTCAAATTGTTTCTCTCTCTCTCTAGTATGTCTGAGTATTTAATTCTTATGTGCTTCATTTCTTTCCTATATAGATTGTTTGCATTCTTCATAGAACCATGTTTCTACTCTCAGTTGTGTCTTTGTTCCTAGGACTTCTTTAGCTGTGTTGAGTATGATACTGCTTATGGTGTTCCATCAGTTTTCTATTGTGGAGTCTGTTCTGTTTTCTTCTAGTAATTTTTCATCCACTGTTCTCTCAAATCTTTCTTGTACCTCAGGGACTTTTAGGTTATTTCAGTTTAGTTTTTCTTGCTTTGGATATTTTTCCTTTACCTGTCGACTGATTTTGCATCCAAACCGTGTCTGTACTAGCAGATGGTCTAAGTCACAGCTTGCGCCACGTCTGCTTTTTACATCTAATATACTCGTCGCCATTCTTTTTTCAGCCAGTATATGACTATTTGATTGATTGTATGTCCGTCAGGTGATATCCAGGTGCCCTTATGTATGTCCCAATGTGGGAAGCATGTCGAACTGATAATCATATTGTTTCCAGCTGCGAAATCTATTAGAAACTGACCATTCTCATTTGTGTCTCTATGCAAACTATGTTTCCATATTATTACCCCTATGTACTCTTCTTCTTTTCCGATCTTGACGTTTGTGTCGCCTCTAGATCTTGATAAAAGGCTACCTTAGTGTCTTCTTCTTGTTCTTGTTTGTGGGACAGTGTACATTTATAAGGGTTATGTTAAAGAAATGCGTTTTTATCCTAAGCTTGCAGATTCTTTCATTGATGGCTTGAAAGTTTGTTATCAGGTGCTTCATTTTATTATCTATGATAAAGGCTACTCCAAATTCTTTATTTCCTTCCTCTTTACCTCTATACAGTATAGTGTGTGTTTTAGTGTTTAGTGTTATAGTTATTTAGATATTTTAGTAACATGTGTAAGTTAGCACAATTTATGAAGTTACAATAATACAGGGATATGTTTACACACGTTACCACAAATATAGCTGCACACACACACACACACACACACACACACATATATATATATATATATATATATATATATATATATATATATATATAGACTTTCATATATACTTACATACTTTTTTGAGTGTTTCTGCAGCTCAAGGATTGACAACTAAATCCTATAGTTAATGCTGTTTTTTAATTCTACTAGAGCCATAGCTCCTTCTATTTCATCACTCGAAATCTCTTTACTTTTACCACCTTGAACACAAACTAATACAGAGGGGCGATCCTGTTTTTCATTAAAGGTATGTGCTGTTTCACACCTCCTCTCAGGTTCAGGATAAGTCTCATCTCCCCAATTTATTGGTGAGGCTAAATCTATAGTTGATTCCCAGAGATTCTGGTTCTGCACGGCTTCTCTTAACCAACGTTTTTTAGGCAATTCTGAAGGTGTTCTTTTTGGCGAAGAGTGTAATTCTTGTCCTAAACTACTGGCATTAAAACTATACTCTGTATCAGACTTTGGTGAGTTTTCAATATCATCCATTAAACTGGATTTTGAGCTACTGGAAAAGAAGGAGGATCTTTCTAAACAACAGGCTGAGTCATCTTGCTGAAACATGGATTTTTTTGGGGTTGTGTCAAAATTTTCTTTGGCACTAGAAGATGTATTTCTTCTGAAATAAAAAAGTGATCTCATTAATTATATATTTCAAAAGTACTTTCAGAAAAAAAAATTTTATCCTAACTACTACATATAAATTTTTTATTTACACTACTACTCCAAGAAATTAATGCACCATTTACAAAAACAAAAAAAGCGATTCAGTGGTGTTTTAAATTTAATAGTATTCATTTTTGTATGGAATATCCCATGTATTTGAAATGTTTTTATCAGAAATTATATAGAGAAATTTGACTAATGAAGAGTGTGCTCAAATAGTGGTTTTGCATGAAGAAGGTTGGAGTTACAGACATTTAGGGGAACGGTTCAGCGTACACCATACATCGGTATCACAATTGATGGAACGGTACAGAGAGACAGGTAGTCACTCTAGGCGCCCAGGTCGACATCAACAACCAGAAGCTTACAATCCCAACTTGAAGATGTTCATAATGTTCGAATCAGCTGTGAAACTGTTCGCCGACGTCTCAAGGAAGGTAATTTGGCAAATCGTATACCTGCCAGAGGGGCAGCCTTGACCGTAGCTCATCGCAGAGCGCGTTTAGAATTTGCACGAAATCATATCCATTGGTTGGAGGCTGATTGGAATAGAGTTCTGTTTACAGATGAGAGCAGATTCTTCTTTACAATTGTGTAGGCGTATTCGCGTGTACCGACGTACGGCATGCACACTGTAGGTAGGTGGCGTTTCTTTAACGGGTCGTACATACTTGGTGGTATTGAATAACGGTACCATCAACGCTCACCGATATCGTTGACGTTCTTTAAGACCACCTTGTGCCATTTGCTCCTTATATTGGCGAAAATTTTGTTCTAATGCACGACCGCACGTTGCAAATATAGTGCAAAATTATCTAGAGGAAGTTGGAATCGACGCCAGCGAATAGTGCCGATCTCAATCCTATCGAGAATGTTTGGGACTTGCTTGGTAGATGTCTACGGAATTTTCCTAATCAACCAAACACTCTGCAGGAACTGGAACAAGGTCTTGTCCAAATTTTTAATGAACTGGATCAGAATACTGTAAGATCGACCAAATCGACTACATTACAATTAACAAAATTTTCCGTAATGGTATTCTACATGTAAAAACGTACACAAGCTGTGACATAAATTCAGACCACAATCCTGTAGTTGCAACTATCCGATTAAAACTTAAAAAAGTAGACAAGGCTAAACCAGTCAGAGAATAGCATGGAGTAGTGCTGACCAAGGACAGCAACAGAAGATATGGTAGACACACAGTTAGAGTCTAAGACAATAGCTCCCACTAAGGAGAAGACAATAAAAGAAAACATTGAAGACATGTGGGGAAAATTAAAAATACTATCTTGGAGGCAGCAGATCAAAGTATACAGAAAGAAAATCGTAAACATAGAAAACCATGGATGATAAATGAAATATTACAAATTATGGAGAGGAGACGGATGGTAAAAAACAAAAACCTAACAAGATACAAAGAACTCAACAGGGAAATTGAGTAAAAAATAAATGTAGCTAAGAAAGAGTGGATGAAAGAAAAATGTAAAGAGGTAGAAGTTTTGCAAATGAAACATAAATATAGAGAACTACACAGAAAGGTTAAAGGAGTAGCTGTAATATGGAAACCCAAACACTTATCGATTGTAACAAACAAGTAAAACCAAATGGAAATTGACCCTCAAAGACAGAAAGAAATATGGGAGTAATATCTTAAAGATTTAGATAGATAGATAGATAGATGGTTTATTGGTAATAAATGAATACAAAAGTATTTTTTACAAGTCAAAGAAAATAAAATATAGGTCAATATAGTTAATAAACACATAAATATAAACACAAAACATAGATACAGTATTTTAAATTATACTGTTGACAATTACAAAAAATTAAAATCTGAAGTAAAATACTCCTTATGTGTAAAAAAGGCATTCACTATAAAGTAACTCTTAATTTTTGCCTCAAACTGATGAAAATTAAGAGCTTTTATTCTATCTGGCACTAAGTTGTAGAATTTTATGGCTAAATACCTTGAACCATTTCTGGATCTCTCAAGACGGCTAAATTCTGGTATAAGATTATTGTTAAATCTGGTGGGATAATTGTGAAAATCTACATGTGCATTGTATTGGCTAAGATTTTGTTTAATGTGCAACATACACTGCAAAATGTATACACAAGGTAAAGTCAAAATTTTTAAAGCTCTAAAGGAGTTTCTACAGTCTGCTCTACAACAGAGCCCAGAGATAATACAATCACATTTTCTTTGTTGTGCGAACACTTTATCAATATGACAAGAGTGACCCCAGGAGAGAATAGCATATGTCAGATGAGAATGAAAATTACTATGATAAGCTGTTAAAATAGTTTCCCTGGAAGTTACTTGTACAAGGTTCCTGAAGAGGAAAAGTTGTCGGGAAAGCTTTTTCGATATATTAACTATATGTTGTTCCCAAGTTAATCCTGCATCCTGCATCATATATTCCCAGAAACTTCGCTCCGGTTACACATTGCGGTAGAGCAACGTTTTCAACACAAGTGTTATTTCGTAGAGTAAAATTAACATTTCGAGATTTAGAGTTGTTCAAAGGGAGACGGTTAGTTAAATTTGTTTGGTGATCAGAGAACAGAAGAAGTTTTGCAGGGAATAAAAGATGCAAAGAACAACAAGGCACATGACGAAGACTTAATACCAGCCGACCATTTTAAACACCTAAGTGATAATGTTGTCAGGAAATTAACATAACTCTGCAACATTATATATGAATATAAAATCCACAAGGAAAAATTTTGGTGGCTCAGGTATTATGACCTAGCATTTTCGATTTTAATAACCTGATGATGGACTGTGTAGTCCGAAAACGTTTGTTTTATTGATGTGGCCCTTTTAAGGGTTTTTTAAATAAATATACCCATTTACAAAGATTAACCTCTTTTTCTTTTTATATATGAATATGGCATAATACCGCATGACTGGCTAACATCTACATATATATCTCTTAGTAAAAAACAAAAAGCAAGGAAATGTGAAGACCATCGAATTGTATCCCTAATGAGTCATGCCGCTAAGATTTTTATATGAATAATATATTAACGAATTCACAATAAGTATGAAGAATACCTGAGTCGTCTTCAATATGGTTTTAGAAAGGGTACAGGCACTAGAGAAGCAATTATGGGATTGCCACTGATGGCAGAAAGGTATCTTGAGGTTCAAAAACGGCTGTATGTGTGCTTTGTCGATTATAGAAAGGCCTTCAACCGCATAACACACGGAAAATTGATTAAGGTGCTAAAAGAAGTAGGGTTGGACGAACCTGACATAGCTATCATAAGTAATACATACTGGAACCACACAATGCATTTGAACAGAGAACGGAATCACCAAGTACATCAACATAGAACGAGGAGTGCGTGAAGGTTGCATTTGTCCCCCCTATTATTTAATGTGCTGAACCTATAATTAGAGCTTCTCTTGAAGATCACCCTGAAGGTGCCAGAGTCAATGGAATCATCATTACCAATATAAGATAGACTGATGACACCATAGTATTAGCAGAAACAAAAGATCAACTAAAAATATTGATGAACATATTATCAGAAGAAAGTCACAGGCTGAGCTTGGAGATTAACTTTTGAAAAACCAAAATTCTGGTATTCCATAAAAACCCCCTTGAACAAGTTACACTTAACATACAAATAAATGGTATCACCCAGAGCTTCAAAAGCTGCATATACCTGGGCAGAGAGCTAAATAGTCAACTAGACCACTCAAAAGAAATTAGAAGACGCATTAAAATAGCAAGATCTGGTTTCGTGAATATGCGTAAAATGCTCTGTAACCCCAAGCTATTAGTCTCAATAAGATTGAGAACACTAAAGTGTTATGTGTGGTCTCTATTACTATATGGCTTTGAGATCTGGGCATTAAAACAGTATGACGTCAACAAATTAAATTCATTTGAAATGTGGATGAACTGCCGAATGTTAAGAATAAAAGCTGGACCAGCAGAACTACGAATGAGGGAGTACTGAGAGTAATGAACACACACCCTCACCCTCAATTGAAGGTAAAAGAGGCATAGGATAAAAGAAAACATTTTGGCTACAAAACATCAGAGATTGGAACCACACAAAAGGAAATGAATTAATTCATCAAGCCCAGAACAGACAGAAATTTGCCATATTGATCGCCAACCTCAACAGAGAAGGCACTTAGGATGAGGAGGTATTCATTGATTTAAAAAGAGTTTTTTAAACTATTGATTCTAATATACTACTCACTAAATTATGTGTTGAACGAAAGGTTCTTGAAAGGTTTACAGATTACTTATTGTATAGAAAGCAACAAGTGAGGATTGATGATATTACTTCATTGAAATTCATGTTAATATTGATTCACTACCTCAAGGTAGTGTCTTAGGACTCCTTTTGTTCATATTTTATTTAAACAATATAAACTTGTTTGTTAAATGTGGTTTCTTTAATTTGTATGCAGATGACACCCTACTTGCATGTTTTGATTCAAACTAAGAAAATGTTGTATCTAGAATGAATTCAGTGTTACAGTCTGTTAGTAAACATTAAAAGATCAACAAACTAAAGTTAAATGTTTTAAAGATTTATTTATTTATTAAAGGGATACCACTCAATTTAATATATACACAAAGTATTACAAGTATTATCTAGTGATACAATAATTATAAATATATAGTAAATATGTATGAAAAGAATTGGAGATTCAGCTATATAGAAAAAAAAAACAACAAATAATAAAATTATATAAAGCACATAGCAAATATAAATCACATAAAATTACAATTTTTTTTTTAAACACATTCTACAGACATTTTCCGAAGTGCACAGCAACAAATCAAAGTCTATTCTATTTCCATTTGGAATGATTCTACTCAGTGGAGTATGCCTACCAAAATTAGAGCGATGAAATTTAATTGCAAAATTTTGAGATGTTCTAGTAACTCTAGAGGGAACATTAAAGTCAATTAGAGACAGTAGATCATTGCAATTAATTTTTGAATTCAGTAGTTTATGAAGAAACAAAAATCAGCATACATCCGTCTGGAAGATAGTCTAGGAAGGTTTAATGTATTTCTAATTTCTGAGTAGGAATGGTCGCTTAAAGGTTTGTTTAATTTAAAACTTAAGTACCTAATGAATTTATTTTGGACTTTTTCAAGCTTGGCTATATGGACTTCATAAGTGGGTGACCAAACGACTGAGCAATACTCAAGAACAGATCTAATTAGGGAAATGTAAATCAGTCTGATGGAATTAATGTTATACAAACATCTAGAGGTTCTAATTATGAAGCCTAATATTTTAAATGCCTGGTTATTCACATAATCAAAATGAGCGCAAAAATTTAGTTTGGAATCTAATTGAACACCTAGATCTCTTACAGTTGAGACAGCCTTTAGTGGTTCTTCAGCTAATTTATAATTATAAGAGAGGTTGTTAATTCTTCTACAGAAACCAATAATGTGACATTTTCCAACATTAATGCTCATTTGGTTCCAATTGCACCATGCCATAATTTTGTTAATATCAATTTGGAGTTTTTCACAATCTGAGACATCTTCGATAATTCTATAGATTTTTAAATCATCAGCAAATAGCAAAAATTTAGAGTTAATTTGAGATTTAATGAAGGCTATGATAATAACATATTTTCGAGGATCATATATGGTCGCCTAAGTACATATTCAGAGGAACTTCTCTGGGAATATCAAAGTGGCTTTAGGCCTGGTCGATCAACAACAGATCAGATCTTTGTGCTAAGGCAAATACTGGAAAAAACCAATGAATTCAATATCGATACATACCATCTTTTTGTAGACTTCAAATCTGCCTATGATAGTGTCCTAAGAAATAAATTGTATGAAGCAATGAATGAATTCCACATCCCTGATAAACTGATAAGATTGGTTAAGGCTACAATGCGTAATGTGGTTTGCAAAGTCGAAATACAGGGCGAACAATCACAGGCGTTTGGAACGCATGTTGGGCTGCGACAGGGAGACGCGCTGGCGTGTCTCCTTTTCAACATAGCACTGGAAAAGGCGATCAGAGATGCCCGAATAGACAACAGAGGAAATATTTTTAATAAATCATCCCAAATTTTGGCATATGCAGATGACGTGGACCTAGCTGCCCGCACAACACGCAAGCTAGAAGAAATGTATACCACCTTCTCAAATGCCTCAAAATCTATGGGCCTGCAAGTAAATGAGGAGAAAACTAAGATGATGGCATCAACACCCAACAATAGAGCCAGGAACATCGGTCACCAATTCACGGTTGATAACTCTACCTTTGAAGTGGTTGACAAATTCACATACTTAGGCTCCCTGATCACCAAAGAGAACGCTATAACGGAAGAAATCAAGCGAAGGATAGTAATGGCAAACAGATGCTATTTTGGACTGAGTAGACATATGAGAAGTAGAAACTTAAACCAAAAAACAAAAATAACTATATACAAAACCCTTATACAGCCAGTGTTGACATATGGATCGGAGACATGGACCATCTCCAAGGCAGACGAAGACCTTTTGCTTATATTTGAACGAAGGATCCTGAGAGGAATATTTGGTGGCATCTGTGAAAATGGTGTTTGGAGGAGGAGATACAACTACGAGGTATACCACAGGTATAAACAAATATTTGGTGGTAAAGACATAGTATCTCTTATAAGAATAGGAAGATTAAGATGGGCAGGACATCTAGCAAGATCACAGCAGAACAACCCTCCTAGAAGAATCTTTATGTCACAACCCGTGGGAAGCAGAAAAAGGGGTAGGCCAAAACTCAGATGGAAGGATGGTGCAGATGAGGATGGTAGAAAGATAGGCGCAGCAAACTGGCAACGGTTGGCAATGGATAGGACTGCCTGGCGTAATAGACTTGGGAAGGTCGAGGCTCTTTCATAGGGCTGTAGCACCATTGATGATGATGATGATATGATAATAACAACTAAATATAAATACTCAAATATTGATATAACTACTATTAATCTTCAATTTGACAATGATGAAATAGAAATCATCACAACAATTAAGTATCTTGGTTTTCAATTGGATAATTTATTGTCTTTTAATGATGATTTTAATTATATATTAAAGAAGACTTTTAAAAAATGTATACATTTTTTCATCTAAAAATTTGTCAACTTCAGTTGTCTTTGTAAAAACTTCAGGTTGTCAAAGTCAAGAACTGTCTTTCTGAAGAGATTTTGGTTAGACCTGGCATCCCACAGGGTGGTCATTTATTGAATATTCTTTTTATTTTCTTTATAAATGACATTTTAGAAATCTTTGAAAATTGTGTTATTTTGTTGTATGCTGATGATTTGAAAATATTTAGAATTATTAAGGATGTTAGAGACTATGTAAAAATGCAAAAAGATGTAAACAATTTCTCACAATGGTGTACAAAGAATGACCTTTCACTTAATATCGATAAATGCAAAATAATGTGCTTTTTTAGAAACTCACAACCTATCTGTTTTAATTACTCTATAAATAATATATTTCTTGAACCAAAAAAACACTTTCAAAGATTTAGGTGTATTTTTTGATCCCACTTTATGTTTCAGAAATCACTATAATTTTATTTGTAATAAAGCTTTTAAATTACTTGGATTTTTGAAAAGAATCTTGTCAGAATTCAATAACCTAGATTGTTTTAAAAGTGTGTATTGTTCTATGGTTAGATCAGTTCTGGAATATTCCAGCATTATTTGGTCTCCTTTATATAAATGTCATATTGAAAGCATTGAGAAAGTTTAGAAAAAAATTTTGCGCTTTGTAGGCTATAAATTATGAATTTCTTCAGAAGATATAGTGTATTGTGACATTTTAAAATTACTTAATATACCAACATTAGAAACTTGTAGTTTAATGCTAGATTTGGTTTTTTTTTCAAGATTGTAAACGGAATGATAGATTGGCCTCAAATTGTGCAGAGAATAGGTCTTAGGGTTCCTCAAAGGCGCACAAGATCTAAGGATATTTTTTACTTAGAATTTCAACAAACAAACTATTGTCTAAATAGACCTATAAGACAAATGTGTCAATCTAGAAATGGTTTAGATGTAGACTTTTTTTCTAGCTCTCTGATAGTTTTCAAAAAAAGCTGAAAAAATCTTTTTAAAACACAATGTAGGCTGTCACTGTAAACTGTCATTTAGGTATTTATTCTATTTATTTGTCTTGTGTAAATTGCATGTAATTATTATTGAATTCTAAAACTGTTAATATGATATGATTTATTTAATGATTGTAATTATTGTAATTGGTATAACCATATATAAACTATTTATTTATTTATTATAGTTTTTAATGTAATTATTCAACCTCACTTCGATTTTTGTTCATCGGTTATTTTTCTATTCAATTTAAATCGTGATTTTATTACACTATAAGTTTATTATGGGGAATTGTGATATTCACAATTACCCTACTGGAGGTAATTGCAATTTACACATTCTGAAAACAACAAGGACAACTTCAAGAAACTCTTTGTTGTTTAAAGGTTTTGATCTTTTAATAAGTTTCCCCAAACAGTTAAAAGTTGTTTCTCTATACAAATGTCTAAAGGCAAATTAATGGGCCATATTAAAAGCACCAATAGTTAGGTAGTTGTTTTTTATTCATGTTTTTAGAAATCCAGGGGGGTCAACATATATGTACATGTAGCTTTTTATGAATTAAAGTTCTACCTAATTTGGAACTAGGTCAGAAACTTATGCACTGTTTGAATATATATTTATTGTGAATGCATTTTTTGATAATAAAGTAAAATGTACTGTACTTACTTATCCCATTGTAGCAACCATTCTTTCACTTCTGCATTATGAGTTTCATCATACTTTTTATTAAGATTAGGTTCAGGTTTTGCATTCAGCCTTTTAAGAGAGTAGTCTGGGTGGTCTTGACAGTGGCGATTGGCATGTGTAAATGTTTTAGTACAATTAGGAGCTGCACAAATAAACGGTTTTTCACCTGTATGCAGCCTTTGGTGAGTTTTCAGTTGTCCTGACTGGGCAAATTTTCTTGTGCAACGAGGGTAGTCACATCTATAAGGCCGTTCCCCTTAAAAAATTTTGAAACATATTTTTATGTTTATATTTATTTATGTTTATATTTATTTATATTTATACTTATTTATATATTCATTATTTCATTTAAATTGACAATATATTGAATTAAAATATTTATTTTTAAGCACCTAATTAATTTCAATTTTTTGGTTACATGTTCATACACCTGTTTTTAGTAAAGATGCTCAGAGGATCATACATCCTTATTTCATTGATTTACAATTTAAAAAGATCTAGCGGTAAATTTGACCTAGCTGCAGACATTTAAACATGGAGTATGAAAGTAAGTAGGTATTTAAAGTTCATTTGCCCCTACCTGTATGGGTCCTAAGGTGGGCTTGTAAAGACTTTTCCCTAGGAAAAACTCTTCCACAGTATTTACATTTAATTGAACTAGGAGAAGTGGATCCCTCCAAAATCAGGGTATTTAATAAATCAGCATTGGGTCTACCTCGTCTTGTTTCTGCTAAAGCACTTCCTTTGTCTACTGAGTTCGGGCATTTTACTTTTAATATTCGATCGTCGGGAGTTAATTTTATACCGCTGTCCTCTCTAGTTCTCAACTTATTTCTTTTCGGTGTTTGAAACATAGTTTTAAGTTATGCATTCAACTTTTAACTTAATTTATTAAGAACTATCACAACCAACGTCCACAACAAGCCAATCAAAACAAACATGCACCAAATCATATGCAGATGTCGCTACAAAATGGAGGGAATTGGTGTTATGTCAAATTTGAATATTTTTGGAGATGACGCCGTTTTATTTTATTATACTATAAATATTTATATGTATATGTAGTTTTGTGTTTAAAGTAACAAATATTTCTCTAAAATGTATATTTTATACAGTATTAAAAGGTAGGCTTACATTTTATATTATTGAGTTTCAAATTTTCTCCGAAAGAGGATGAGGTACCTAATGAACCTTACAGTGTTGCGCAATTTTCAATAAATGATGAATTTCGTTTAGAAACGTGCTTTTGATTATTTTTAATGCTTACTGTAATATAAATAAAACATTCATATAGTGACCGACTTATGGAGACGATTATGTGTGGAAAAGTAAATTTTGATGCAGATACACTTGTATTCAACATAATTTTTTTTTACCAAGGGTCACCCAAGCCCAGATAAAATAATCACAGTAATTAATAGGTTTAGCTCAAACCACAAACAGAATATTATATGTATATATACTGTTCTTCTCTTAGTTTTAATTTTATATGTTACTATTTGATTTCACTTAGTTTGAATTTTAATGTCAATACGTATTTGATGTTTCCTTTAAATTTTGTACGTTACTTTAAGAAAACATTGAAACTCTGGCAACACTGTAACTGGTAGCTGTAAGTTGCCTACTTTTGGCGCAACTCGGCGATAGAAGCTGTAAACCAGCCATTGTATAATCAATTTATTAGAGTAAATGAATAGTTACAAATACCTTCACATGAAAAAAATAATTTTTGCGGCGATGCTGCAGATGGGTAGAAGACTTTGACAAGCTGCTAAATTTATAGGATATCAACAACAAAACCTTAATATATAATTTGCAGGCGACAGTCGGACAGGAAATGAATGACATACTTATTGAAGACCCATAAAATTAAAATCCGGAAATGGAATAATGAATAAAACAGTTAAAGAATAACAAAAAGGAGAAGAAGAAGAATAACAAATCTCCTGCTCCTGGAGAAAATGGTATCTCAATAGGAATATTAAAAGTGACGGTACAGTACAACCGCTATATGATCGCCTTATTAACTCAATCATCATCATCATCATCACTGGCTCGACAACCCTTTTTGGGTCTTGTCCTGTTCCAGGATTCTTCTCCATTCTGATCTGTTTCGTGCTTTTTTCCTCCAGTTTTTTATTTTTAAGGTTGTTATATCATTTTCTATTTGTTCTAAGTATCTCAGCTTCGGACTTCCTCTTGTTCTTTTTCCTACTGGCATCTGTTTGAATATTTTGTTTGGTATTTCGCCTTCTTCCATTCTTTCTACATGTCCTATCCAACGCAGCCGTCCTATTTTAATGAATGTTATAATATCCGGATCCTGGTATATTTTGTATAGTTCAAAGTTGTATCTTCTTCACCAAATTCCGTTTTCTTTTGTGCCCTTATATATGTGTAGCAAGATTTTTCTTTCGAAAGTGTATAAAGTATATAAAGTTTTTTACCCCCTCAATGTTGTATTCTCCTATTGTTATATTTTGTAACCATGTTGCCAATAAGGCAGCCTTATTTCTGCGTTTTTACTTACCTGCATATATTTTGTTTTGGTCTGATTGATTTTAAGACCACTATTTTGTGCAGCTCGTTCTATTTGGTTGTATACCTCTATCATTTCTCTTCTTGATCTTGCGATTACGTCAACATCATCTGCAAATGCTAGTATTTGCACGCTTTTATTAATGATTGTTCCTCGGGTATTGACTGTTGTGTCCCTCAGTATTTTCTCGAGTACGATGTTGAACAAGATGCATGATAAAGCGTCTCCCTGGTGTAGTCCCTTTTTCACATCTATTGTTTCCGTTAATTCATTTTGTATCCGGATTTTACTTTATACTTTTAGAGATTATTTTATCAGTGCTATTAGTTGTATTGGTATATTAAATTTTTTTATAGCTTTTATTAAGAATTCTCGGTTTATATTGTCATATAGGCTTTCAAAGTCTATGAAGACATGATGTGTGTCGATGTTATATTCACTTGTTTTTTCGAGGATCTGTCGCACAGCAAATATCTGGTCTATTGTTGACTTCTGTCTACAGAAGCCACTTTGGTATTTGCCAACTATTTTTTCAGCGTGTGGTCTAACTTTTTCATAAATGACGTTGGACATTATTTTGTATGCTGCATTCAGCAGCGTGATTCTACGGTAGTTTCCACATTCTAACTGATTTCCTTTTTTATGTAATGGTACAATAATACCGCTATTCCACTCCGCTGGTAGCTGTTTATTCGACCATATCTTTGTTATCAATTCATGTATTGTTTTTTGTAGTGCGTCTCCTCCTTCCTTCAGTAACTCCGATGCTATTTGATCCGATCCCGGTGCTTTAATGTTCTTTAATTTCTCTACTGCTGGTATAATCTCGGCTATTATTGGCGGAGTCTTTTCTCTGTTGTTTGCTTGGTCTAATGGTATGTCAGGGTTCGTCTCTCTCCGATCTTCTTCAAGCTTTTCCGTAAAATGTTCTATCCTTCTACTTAGTATCTCTTGCTGTTCTATCAATATATTACCTTCCTTATTCTACTCATCGTTGTTCTCGGTTTGAAGTCTTTTTTGCTTTTGTTCAGTTTCTGATAAAATTTTCTTGTCTCTGTTGATTTACTTAGTTCTTGTAGTTCTTGAAGTTATTTGTTCATATATTCTCTCTTTTTTCTTCGGCGAGTTTTCTTTTCTTCTTTGCGTAGCTGTTTATATTCTTCTTCTGCTTGTCGCGTTCTGTGCCTCTGTTGCATCAGTAAATATGCTCTGTTTTTTCTGTCTGTTATAATCTGACATTCTTCGTCAAACCAGTCATTCGTTCTTGTTCTTCTTTCTCTACCTTCTATGCCTAATACTTCTTCAGCTGCCTCTTTTATGATGTCTCTGCATTCTTCCCACTCCTTATTTAGGTTTTTATGTGTTAGTCTGTTTTCTAGTTTGTTGTTTACCTCTTTAATTTTGTTTGAGTCCTTCTACCTTGTATCGTTCATGTTTAGAGCCTCTTTCCTTTTTGATGTTTGAAATTCTAGCCCTTACCCTAATTTCGACCAGGTAGTGATCAAAATCCGCATTTGCTCCTCTTTTGGCGCGGACGTTTATTATATTCGATTGGTGTCTCGAGTCTACAATGGTAAAGAAAATGTGAAGCCAGGAAAAACTGTCGAACTAATGGAAATACGGTGTGATGTACTGTTGCCACATAAGAACGATAAGGATTTATACCAGGATTACAAGAGTAAATAATAGGGGAACACCAAGCCGGTTTTAATAAAGGCAGAAATGGTCATATTTTCACAGTTAAATATTTAAAGGCTGCTCCCATAAGACCACATGTTTTTTGTCCTTTACTTAGAAACACATATTTTACAAACCACTTCGCCTGGGGCTACCAATCTTTGCAGTTATTTCTTGAATGACATAATACACAATATAAACCACCATGAAAAATTGACTGATCGTTTTTGTAGAGCATTACCAAGTATTAGTTATTATTATTATTAAGCTATTATTATTAAGCTAATGAAACAAACGGAGCCTATTAAAATAAACCGAGGAGTAAGACAAGGAGATACCATATCGCCCAAGTTATTTAACCAAGCGCTAGAAGATGTTTTTAAACGACTACACTGGGATGACTTGGGAATTAATATAAACGGGCAAAATCTGAATCATTTACGATATGCTGATGATATTGTATTAATAACAGAAAAAAGTGAAGAATTACAAAGAATGATGGAAGAACTAGATAGAGAATCGACAAAAATTGGACTCAAGATGAATTATAGTAAAACAAAAACCATGACTAATCAACCAGAAGAACTTATGATTACAGTGGCACAAACAAAAATAGAACAAGTAAAAGAGTATATATATCTAGGCCAAATCACTAAATTAAATAAAGAAAATCAGACCGAAGAAATAAAGAGAAGAATAAGATTGGCCTGGGCATCATTCGGAAAACTGTCTTATATTCTAAAGAATTCAAAATACCCCCAATACTTAAAAACGAGAGTCTTCAATCAATGTATACTCCCTGTCCTCACATATGGCTCTCAGACATGGACGTTTACAAAGGAAAATATGGAAAAAATAGCAAAGACAGAAAGATTCATGGAAAGACAAATGCTGAACATTAAACTATCAGACAAAAAAATAAACGAATGGATCCGTAATAAAACAAAAGTGAAAGATGTCTCAACCCAAGTAGCAAAGCTTAAATGGAAGTTCGCCGGACACACCCTAAGGCAGAAAGATGAAAGATGGACCAAACCAATTATACATTGGAGACCATGGAATCACAAACGTAAAAGGGGAAGGCCACAAATGTGATGGTCAGATGACCTGAAGAAACACGCCGGGTCAAAATGGATGCAAATTGCCCAAGATAGAGAGGCATGGAAGAAGGAGGAGGAGGCCTATATCCAAGGATGGATTTTAAGGGCTGTATAGATAGATAGATAGATAGTTATTATTACCATTATTACCAAGTATAAGTATTAGTTATTATAACAAAATCAAAAACACGATATCGTGTTTTTGATCGCGAAATGTTGTTCCTTTGCACATAATGCATCGAAATTTAAAGATTTTTTTTCTCCATGTAGACATACTCTCACCAGCATAAAAATATAAAGTTAGGATTCGGTACATTATTAACTTCAGCAATATTGATTTTTTTAATGAAATAGTAAATGGATTAAAAAAAAAACAACCCAAAAAAAGAACTCGAGACGAAGTATTTCAAAAATATAAAACCAAAAATTATTAATTTTTGTGCTTACCTTGAAAATCTCCAATAGAGAAATCTGCAGCAAATGGAGGTGTGTTGTCAAATTTATTTTACTTTTCAGATTCTTTTTAAAGCACTATACT